CGGGGTGGCGCTGACACTCTCGGCGGCCAGAGCTGTCGGGAGGGACTGAGCCGGTAACTGCAGACCGGAAAACTTGGACTGATGGTTGTTGTTATAATACGAAGCCTGGCTCACCACATGAGGCAAGATCGAGGGATTAAACGCAGCGGCAGAAAATCCGGGGCAGTGAGCGAATTGCAGTAAAGGGTTGCTAGCGTTTGCGTTTGCGTTTGATGAGTTGGTGGTGAGGTCTAATGTGATGGTTGGGAATGGAGCGGAGGCAGAGATTGTGGCCATGGTTGAGGAGCAAGCTGGCAAGATGGTTCGAGCCAGGAGGTTTGTTGGGTTCATTATGCCTTCTTGGGTCGACGACATCGAGCCCGAGAGGAGCATGCTAGCGGCTGCAGTCGTGGTCGAGGCCATTGGCATGGCGGCTGGCGGGAGGGGATGATTATGGTTCCCTTCGTAGGTTGTAATGAGAATAGATCTGTCTTCCGCACAACGTTGTACCTTTTTATAGATCATTGCATTGTCATAACATGCGTTAGAACACCAATATATTTGATACTATACACCTTAAAACAAGTTTTCATATATTATGACTCTTATATATTTCTTTTTCCATAATAATATATATTCATATAAATAGAGGAGATTTGGGAGTGATTAAATAACGTACTTGCTTGCGTACGGGGCAACCCACCGCCATGGTGCAGCGATAATAAGCTCGTGGGCACGGGTTTCCCTTCGCCATTTTCTGCCCGTATTTCCTCCATTGACATCCATCGCTTATCTATAACGGTCCAACGATATAGAAACGTTCTTATATATATTATTCCCCGAAACATTGATAAAGATTCGAACTTTCTGCCTATAATACAAAACTATATATTTATATATGGTTACCATTGGAGCTTCAGATCGAGCACGAACGGAGACACGAGCTTTCCGCATGGTGGCTTCGGCCGTGGCCGAGTGATCGATGACGTTACCGTTGCCATTACAGGAGGGATAATGTTTGGGAACTTTGTTAGGGAATTCGGATTCAGGGCTTTCTTCCCTCCCAAGCAACCTCTTTCCTTCATCTCGTGGGTTGGAATGCAAAGGAGGAGAGCCTGACCGCACTGTCATCCTCTCCTCTGACGACACTTCGGCTTCACGCTCTGATGCGGTGGAAGATGGTCCAAGATCGATGAACTGCCTTGGCACCATCGCCGGTCGCTCCTGCCGTTTCCCCTCCCCACCCTGATCAATTCAGCCAAAACATCAATTGGATGTATACCATACTTTTGTACAAGTCTTTGTGCACATGTACACGCACACTCGTATATGTGTGTGTATATATATACATACATATTTCTGTAACATTTTGTTATTTGGTTTGACAAATAACCTACAACATTAAACTTTATCTTGAATAATCTACGAGATCCATGGAAAATGTTATCTCTGCACAGATTATGCAAAAGGTCCTCTGTATTTTATAATAAAACTCAAACCCATATACTCTTTTTTTCCTTTATATGATAAAACTCGAAAATCTATTAATTGTTTCAAATGATCATGCGAAATCCAAATCTTGTAGCATCCAAATGAAACCTATATAACAGATGGCCAAAAAGAAACTAAAAGTTTATATATATATATATATAATTGATGTAAACGTTATAAAGAAAGCAAAAAGAGAGAGAGATTGGATTGGATTGATGAGAATGTGAGTACCAGGCAACGGTCGGCTTGGGAGGAAGAGGATGTACGGTAATGTTCTTGTCGTCTCATGACAGCGACAAGCTGCATCTGCAAGGAGCTGTAGTTGCTGTTTGCTTTGTTTACCATTTCCCTCAGTCTTTGGTTCTCTTCGCTCATCTTTTGTAGCTTTGCTTGCATTTGCACCACCTTCAAAAATAAAATTTTCATCAATTGACTGTTAGGGTTTCTGTATTATTTCATTTTTTGGGCTGGTTATATATACGATCGACGTTGAAGGGTTATCATTATAATTATTTGATATTTGGTTATATATATCCGTTAGTTTCAATGGGTTAAAAGCGAAAAAGTGTAATTACAAAGTTTGAATTCGATTGTTTGGTGGTTAGCAGTAATTAAAGAGAAGAAAATAGAAAAGACCGTATCAACTAATTAGTGTAATTACCTCAGACTTTACACGTTTCTCTTCCATGTCCATTGACAATCCATCGTCCACCGTTGATTCATCGCTCCCCGTGTTCGCCGTCAGAAGATTTAATCCGATCTATATATATACACACACACATCACGTAAATTCACACACACATACATATATATATATATATATATATATATATATATATATATTTTATTTGGTACATCATAATCTACATCTACATGTATAACCATATATATAAACCACTAAAGCGATAGATCTTCGATTCTCATGAGTATATTTCAGTGTTTCACCAACCCAACAAATTGGAAGCACTTAAAAATAGGAAAAAGAAAAATAAAAAGCCAAAGAAACCAATGAAAACATACATTTACATCCATGGATCGATCATCATCTTCAACCCATGGAATCTCCATTTTAACGTGAACCCTATCTGTATCGCCGGCGATGTTTTCACGTGAAACCCTATCTCTCTTCTCCGAGAAGAAGTCAACCTCTCCGACAGCCACACGGCGGTGCTCATCCGCCTCCTCCTCCGACGACGGCGGCGGAGACTGACCCTGTCTATGATCTCCGCAGCCGTGCGGACCACTGAGACTAGCCGGAAACTGGAACATCTCTCGCTTGTTGATCGTCTCGTTGTTGTTACTGCGATGGGTGATATTGTGATGACTATATATGGAGAAGGGTAGTATCCGAAACCCTAGGAAAAGGAGGAGACTTTCCGGGCAAGAAGGTACAATCGGAAGAATCGAGTGTGATGGTTCCGTACCCTTTGTTGTACCCTTTCTCCATATATAGAAAAATCAAGGAAAGAGCTTAGACAGATCTCTCGCAAGGAGCTTAGAGAGAGAAACAGATCGGAGACTGTGTGGTAAAATCTGTGGCCACCATTGAGGAGAGAGAGAGGGAGAGAGAGGAAAGTCTCTTACCGGACCAAATGCTTCGGCTATAAAACTGGTTTTTGACGTCGACTACGATATCTGTAATTATATTAATAATATCCATGTAATTGTGTATATAAATACGTGCATACATACGTACATATGTGTGTATATACGGTTTCAAAGCTTTTTAAATTCTCTCTGAAGATATGTGGAGATTTTTGGATCGCCTTTGGCGTCAGTGTCTGCGTCATTCGTCTGCCACCTGGCAATAGCTCGTGGGGCCCACACTTTTCCAGACGTGGTGCTGTTTTCTAACTAACTTATACTACACTGCGTGCCGTCTCTTTCTTCGTCCAGATTACATATTTTACATTATACCGACGCTCGCGGCATTCAATTTAATGGCAAAAATTTGTTATATTACTTTTGTTCTTTGCAACTACATAAATGTATACCGCATTTATTATTTAATTTGTCTGAATTTCGATAAATAATATAAATTTTAATTAACGAGTGTTAACTACTAGATTAATTACCAAATTAATATACGAAAATTCATTTCGATATAGTCAAGTCAACACACCGAACTGCACTCATGATATATATATGGATTATGCAAAATCTATTAATAGTCGTCTAACAATTTTAGATGAAAGTTCGTTGCAATTGTCAAAGAGAATTTTACTCTTTTTTTATAAATAAATTGTCTTTAAATGAAATTGATTTCCCGTTCAAGAAAGAACTCTGACTCATTCATCGATCATACTACAAAAGTGAACCCCCACCGTCCGCGGCCGGAGCGGCGCGTTCCACGTGATTGACATACATACATACGTACGTACATACATATACACATACATATACACATACATACATATATACATATTTTGTGTACTGACATAAAATGCTGGACCGATTAAACATTTGTAAAGTTCCGAATAGATTCGTCGTTGAAATCGTCGTTCCTTTACATATTAGAGATGAGAAATTTATAACTAGAAGTTGTTAAAGTTAGGGTTTTAATTGAATATTGTATATTAAGGTGGTCCAAACGGGGGAACTTTATATGCAGTTGCACATTAATTTTGGGTTGAAATGTATAGTTTTTGTTCCAACCACCGTGATTCAAACCAACAAATAAACATAACTCTGTAAGTCTAAAAGTCTCTAAACACGATTCTTATAAATTACACGTTTGCATGGAAAATATTCGTTTATGAAAAATAACTAATCCATCCCACAAATGCTTTCAGATTCTTCCATTATCATTAAAAATTAGAGGGTGTATAATTTTTTTTAAAAAAAATATGTGTAAATTGATAAATTTATGAAACTAATACCTTTGATTGGTAACCAATGGAGAGTTGAGTTAATTAATAAGATAGTCTAACTAAAAGATGTGTCATTAGAAAAAAAATAAATCAAATTCATTTTTTAATTCTATAAATTCAAATTTTACATACTAATTTTTTTTTAACATAACCGTACCCTATAACCTTAACGTTTTTTTACTTAATAAACTTAACTACTTCAGTTCTCTTTTACTAACTTCTATAGACGATTTAAACTTTTTCTAAATTCTTTTGATTATTTATTTAATAAATTGACACGTGGTTCATGTCTAGTTATGTATATTATTGGAGGAAAAATCAAAGGAAAGCATGAGTTTAAATAAATATGATCATATTATTGTAATTAAATACTAAAATTAAAAGTAATTACGATATATTTAATATAATCGGCTCGAAATTGTATATAAAAAGGAAAAAAGAGAGAGAGAGAAAAGGGACAAGATGAAATGTGGAGCCAGGTCAACGAAATTGACGGGGACCGGCTTGTTATTCTGACCGGCGACCGGTTGTGGGACCCGCATAATATTCCACAATTACCTTATGCTTCCCGGTAAACTTGTTGACCTCACCCGTGGGACCCGGTCATTTTTTTGACTTGTGTGAAACCACGAAATTAAATTTTAATTACCCCTTGAACCAATGATATGTATTATATAGAGACTTGAATTTCTATATTTTAAAATAGATTCGGTTCATATCCCCTCTCCATTTGTCAAACTTCTCACTTTGGCACGACATGAAACATGACAGAGACTGAGATACGTGTCGTTGTCTTTTTTCCGTTTTGTCAAAATTAAATTCAAATTCAATCTATCCGACCCAAATAATATATACGAAATGATATAAAAAATTGTATTGTATAACTTTTAAAAATTATAAAAAATTAATTTTTAAAAACAAAAAAATAACAATAGAAATTTGCTTCTAGTCAAATCCTAAAACAATTGAATCATATTGAATGTAATACACAAAATATAATCGCTAATCTAACTAAAGTCCAATCAAACTTTGAAGTATCAAACCATATACTATTTGAATTGACGATAATAAGGTATTAATTATTAATGTGAATGTTTAATATTAGGTTTGAATTAACAACAGACTTAATTAGAAATTGGTAATGGGTTTGAACTTTGAACTGTGCAAGTAAAGGCCATACATCCAATTATAAGGATGCAATAATGACGGATTTGGCGTCTGCTGACTTGAGAATTAATATCCCTTTGACTAACCCCATAAATTAATAATCAAATTTTTCTTCAACTTAATTCCATCTAATTATCAACCAAATAAATTAAATATCTCATCCAAAATGCATACCTATAACATTAATGATTATATATATATATGCATGTCCCGAATTCACATACATACATATATATATATATACCACCTTTCTATTATCTATCACAACGAATATATATACACATATAATACTAAATTTGATGCATTACTTTCAAATTATAAAATCATTATTTTATCGTTTTCTACAATCGAATCAAATGATTTTAGATATATAATATATTGATCATTTTTATATTTTTTGGTAATAAATAAATAAAACCTAAATAAAAATATATTGATATGTAGATGGTATATACAAGTAACAATGTTGTTTAAAATATAAAACAAATTGTTTAGCATGATCTTACGTAATTACATTGAAAATAGCATAATTAAAAAAGGACAAGTGATGAGTCCCTTTACCATTTTACCGACCTGTGTTCCACGTCCATTTTTGCTGCTATATAATATATTATATGTCACTGTGATTGAAAATCGAACGGTAATTATGCTAAACAATTCCTCAATTGAATTTTAAAACTTTGACTATATAACTTGTTTTTTAGATGAATAATTTCGAATAAAAAGTAAATATTTGTTACTGTCTTATATAATATATTTTGAGTTCATACATATTATGCTGCTATGATTTGTATTGTATATAGAATTAGAGAATAATATTAGGTTTATATACGGAGAGTATTGTAGTTTACGCGGCAACCAGAGGATCCAACTCCAAGGAAGCATTGTATATGGATGGCATTAGACAGACAGACAACCACGAAATAAATAAAAATAAATAAATAATAAGCCTGACAAATGTTGTTTATTTTAGAGTAAATTGATGGATTTAATAAATCTCTCATGTGATTCATGTTTATATGTATTACGGATATGGTGGAGGAGTTATATATTCGTAAATGATATAGTATGAATTGGTAAAGTATATACATGTATTTTGTAAAGTATATACTTGTGTTTAGTAGTGAAATTTAAGTGCAGAAATTCTGCACGGGCATGTAACACGACCGTGTTTGTAACAAACACGGCCGTGTTAGGTTCAACACGGGCCGTGTTAATTCTCTGAGAAAATGCTGTTTTTCTCAGACATTTGACACGGACCGTGTTAAGGTTCAACACGGGCCGTGTTAATTCTCTGAGAAAATGCTGTTTTTCTCAGACATTTGACACGGACCGTGTTAAGGTGCAACACGGACCGTGTTAGGTGCAACACGGCCGTGTCAGATTCGACACGGACCGTGTTAAATGTCTGTAATATGAACAAATGCGGCCTTTCGCATGAAAACTACTAAATGGATACAACTTTTGATCATGTCTCTTGTGCTTTTAAAGCCAAGAACGTCAGAGAATGTTGATATACGAAATCTAATTGATCTTGAGAGATTTGTGAGCCTTTTTGAAGAAGAAACTTGCTACTTCTTCTTCATTCTTTACTGTTCATCCTCTTTCTCGGGTTTTTCTGTTTTGGACAACGTTTGAGGAGCAAATCATTCGTTGCGGATCTTCTTTGTATCTCTAAACGTATTCTCGGCTTTCTCCTTTGCTCGGTAGGGGAGGGAATAACGTTTTAGGAAAGTGTTCTACGCGCCTAGAAGATTATATCCGGGTTGTTTCATCTTTATTTCGATTTCA